ATCTGATAGTGGATAATTATTTCTGGTATATATTAATTTCAACTCTATACAAGCTACTTGAACATGGGACTCAAATTTTTCTGAAATTTGAGTCCCATGATATGAGCCCCAACATATGAACTGCGCTCCAACATATGAACATGACATATGAACATATCAACATGTGTGAACATGATCACATGAATATATCAACATGTATGAACATATGTATGACCACATGTATGAACATATTTATGATATATATGAACACATGTATGAACATATGTATGAACACATGAACATATCAACATGTATGAACATATGAACATATCAACATGTATGAACATATGAACATATCAACATATGAACATGACATATGAACATGACATATGAAGATATCAACATATGAACATGAGTCCCAACATATAAACTGCCTATCAGATTTTTTAAGAAGATTTTCAAGAAGCCTTTAACAAAGAAATCCACAAAGCTAGATTTGATCACAAACCAACATTTTCTCGAGTTAATCTTATTTAAAACTAGTTCAACCACCTTCTAGTTAGGTCGGCCTTATTACTTCTACGAGCTTCAAAAAGTACAACTTGGAAAATGGTGAATATCTAAAGGCTGATGTTCTTGCACTGCTTGTTTCAAACTAACTGATAAATGTATATAATTGTCTGTAAACTAATGTCTTGTTTTTTTAAAAATAATTATAAGAGAAGCTCTTCACTAAACACAACGTGTTTAGTGAAGAGCTTCTCTAATATTATTAGAGAAGCTGTTCTTAATTCACCAAACATTTAGTGAATGCATAATTATTAAAAAAACAAACAAGACATTTAGTACCAATTTTTTCTTAAACTCTCTCATCATTGATTTGGTATTTTTGAACCTCTAATCCATTTATTTTAAATTTGGTTACTTGGATAATTAAGATTTACTTAAATTTAGCTTACTAATATTATAAAAATGTTAATCAAGTAAATATTATTTTAAATTATAATTGTTCCTCCTCGTTAGTCGTATTTTAATCTAAGTTCAGGCTTTCACAGGAAGACGTGCCATTTCATGTCTTTATATGACCACGCAAGTTACATTTTGCTATGACGTTTGACTGCGGCTAATTCAAAAAACATTTTAGAAACGCGCTAAATAAAAAATATTCTAAAAAAGTGAAATTAATTACATCAAAACTTCTTAACAAATGTTTTTATATTAGTGAAACGATTCTAAATAAAGTAACAATTTACTGAAAAAAAGTTTTGTTTTTTAAATATAATTGACAGTTGTATATATTTTTTTAAATTTAAAACATATAAATTGTTTAACTGTTTATTTCTAAAATAAATCTTATTAAAAAATAAAAAATTGTTTTGTTTTTTATAAACGATGACATTCTGCGACTACGAAAGTCTTTTTAACGAATTTAAATAATAGAATGATTAAAGTTAATGCATTTAAAAAGATAAACAAAATTTCGTTAAAAAAAAAGTTTTAGAAAACCGTTACAATTTAATAAGTTTGATCTTAAATGCTTTTATATTATCGAAACGCTTTTAATGAAGTAAAAAAAAAACACTTCTAATTAATTTAAAAAAAAGTATTTATAAAATGTTTTTTATTTTATTTATATAACTATGTATTTTTTATGAGAAATATTTAACTTTTGAACATATTAAACAAATAAAAAATATATAAAAATGTTGAAACAAAGATTGAAAAGGTTTTTTAATGCGTAAATTAAATAGATTAAGCATTTTAGTTTGATGAGTTTTGTTTTAGTTGCGTTATATATATATATTTATTTTTATGTGTTTTTGCTTTAACTAAGTATTTTTTTTATTTTCTCTTTCGTTAATATTTATTATTTTAAAAATTTTTCAGATAAGTTTAGGTAAGTTTTTGTAGCGCGTTTTTAAATTTTAAAAATATGCCGTGGTCAAATCGTTAAAACATTTTTTTTTTGCGTGGTCATATAAAGACATGAAATCGCATGTCTTCCTGTGAAAGCCTGAAGTTTTACTTTTTTTAACCAGCATTAAGGTTTTCATATTCAATTTATAAAATATTACATAATTCTTTTATATCATCTAAAAAAGAAGATTTAACTGAACAGTAGTTAAGTTGGAAATTAATGATTTCAAAGGTTACTTTATTGTTTTAAAAGCGGATAAATAGATATATTTTGTTTTGGTGTATATAATTTGACATCTCCTTAGTTTTAAATAGAGAGTGTATATAGTTTTGACTATACTTGGAGACATTAAAAAGCAACTTAACTGCGTTTCTTTCAAGTGTGTTGAGTCTTTAGTTTGTTGACTCTTTATTTTCATAGACCTCTAGACCGTGGGGTTAGCGTCCGAATTGCTAATAATTTATATAATTGGACAACAGACCTTGGATGTGCATACCGGATTCCAGATTGAATCAAAGTTTGCACGGTTGCCTAGGAAATTGATACCCTACTGTCAATATTCATTCTATTAAGTGAAACAAAAATTGATTTTTTTGTATCCTA